GGCTCAAGCGAGTCTCCTGCCTCAGCCTCCCAAGTAGCTGGGACTACAGGCGCCCACCACAACGCCTGGCCATTTTTTGGTTGCAGCCATCGCTGTTGTTTGGCAGGCCTGGGCTTGGGATTCGAACCTGCCACCTTAGGTGTATGTGGCTGGCACCTTAGCCGCTTGAGCCACAGGCGCCAAGCCATTCTGTAGACTCTTAAGGAAAGACTAAAATTCAGCAATAGCAGAGCTGTGGCCCTGCAGGTGGAATCCGCTGAGGAGTGTGTAACAACTCACTCGCCAAGGAAAAGTAAGAGAAAAGGAAATAAAGATCCAGCTATAGAAGAATATTTATTAATGTAGGAAATTGTTCTCAATTTATTTTTTTATTTTACAGTGAGAGAAATCAAGGGCTAAGCCCCCCATGATCTGTGCATCTTAGCCTGTAGAGAGGAATGCTTCTAATACTGAAAAGCAAACGAGGCCATCCAGGGCAGTGGAGTGGACAGAAAGGGAAAGACGAAGTGGTGCCTGCCACGCCCTGCTGTCCTGCTGGCCCTGGTCCCGGTGGGAGCCCTCACAGTTGAACTGTTCTCCTCCTGTGCCATGGGAGGAGAATGCTTGTGTTGCCCCCAAATTCATCTGTGGAAGCCCTAAGCCCAAGATGATGGTATTTGGAGATGGGATTGGTTTAGATGAGGTCATGAAGGGGGGACGTCCTCCTGATGGATTGATGCCCGTGTAGGAAGTGGAAGAGAGAGATCTTTCTCCAAGGAAGGGCCTCGAGAGAGCACAGTGAGATGCAGGTTGACTGCAGGCCAGGAGGGAGCCCTCCCTAGGACCCAGCACGTCAGCACCTGGTCTCAAACTTCATCCCATTACCAGGTCCCAAAGCCATTCTGACATGTTTAGGCATTTGTTACAGCAGCCTCCTGCTTCTTGGTGCTGAAATCTATTCGCCAGCTTGGGCTGCCACAGTGAAACGCCATAGGCTGGGTAGCCTAAACATTAGAAAGGTCTCTTCTCACATCTCTGGAGGCTATCTCGCCCCAGGTGGAGACAGCTGGTGGTGGGTGATGTAAATCCCATCTCAAAGGCCATGCTGGGCTCCACCTCCCAAGGCTGTTCTCTGAGGGACGCCACAGAAGCCCAGTCAACCCATGCTGAGTCCTCCACACTCACCCTGCCGCACACTGTGACTCCATGCCCCTGTCCACCTGAAGGAGGGACTAAAGGGCCTGAAAATACACACACACAATATGCTAACGGAGTTTTCTCTGGGTGATAGAATTATGAATAATATTTATATTCTTCTTTAAATTTTAAAGTATTTTTATATTTCATATGAAATATGAATATCAGGCATATATTAACTTTATTACTGGGGTAGAAGGGACCCTGGAATTAAATTTATGCTTAGAGCAGGACAAGTGCCCAAAGAGAAAAGAAAAAGAATTTTGCTCCTGACCCTTTGCATGACCTTGGGCAAGTCATTCCACCTTCAGAGCCTCAGTTTTCTCATCTGTAAAATGAGCCAGTCGAACCAATGACCTGCAAAGTTCCTTCTAGTTTTGACAGACTATGATTTGCTAAAACACGTTTTAATTGCAGGTGAAGAACAGGAAGAAGAGTCCCTGAGAAGATCACGGCCTCTGAGTTGTGCATGTGAAAAATCTTTACAGCTGACCACGAAGAAAGCTAGTGGCAGTGTCTGAACTTTCTATTCTACCTTTTCATTAGATTAGAACACAAATCGCATTTATAGGAAATGTCCTGTCTCTTGTTGGGAGACGAGAATGACAAAATTATTAGCTCTCTCCCTACAGATCCTGGGGAGTGTCCATTCAGACCCCCCTGCAAAGATGGTCAGATTAAAGGAGATGGTAGATTCCTCTGAACACTCCAGGAAGTGCCCCCCCATCCATTTGGGGAACATTTAGGAAGAATATACCTCTGATTTGTTCTAAGTAAAAGTTCTGCAGTATGCACCTGCCCAACACTATTCTCTGTCCTCAGAATCACCACAATATTGTCATATATTTTTAACCAGGTTCCCTTTTTAAAAGAACCTTCACAAATTTATCTTAGAAAAACAAAACTTCTTGATATAAAGATTCTTAAGCATGTGGTTGATGACACATTGTGTTTATATTGGCAAAAAAAATACTGAAGAGCTTTATGAAAATGTTGAATCTTGTGCTCGCTTTAGCAGCATGTGTCCCCCAAACTGGAACCATGCAAAGAAGATTGGCATGGCCCCTGCATAAGGGTGATGTGCAGATTTGTGAAGCGACCGTATTTTACCTATCAGCCTCCTTAATTTCAGGCAGGAAATCATAACTCCACCTGGAAGTTCAAGATCAAAACTTCCTAGCTCCTTCAGAAAAAAGAAAGAAAAATCTTTCTTAAAGATTAAGTGAATCTTAAAATGTCTTATACCAAGTGAAAGAAAAGGTGTGGATTGGATTATGATAGCAGGGCCTCAGCTGCTGTGAAGGCGGCCAATGGCGGCTTCTCTTCTGTTTATCAGAGAACATCATCCTTTATCAATCATCTATGCTGTCAATTTTTTATAAATGTTCTTAAAATGATGAAATTTTCCTTTTTTGTAAGTATTTCTAAATATACTTTACAATGTTGTTAATATTTGCTAAAAATTTGAAAATCGCTCCATACTCCACCACTGTGTAATCAGCTCCAAAAGCAAATACACAGCAGCACCCCCCAGTGACGTCTCCCCTGTGTAATCAGCACCCCCCAGTGACGTCTTCCCTGTGTAATCTGCACCTCCCCAGTGACGTCTCCCCTGTGTAATCAGCACCCCCCAGTGACGTCTCCCCTGTGTAATCAGCACCCCCACCAGTGACGTCTCCCCTGTGTAATCAGCACCCCCCCAGTGACGTCTCCCCTGTGTAATCAGCACCCCCCCCAGTGACGTCTCCCCTGTGTAATCAGCACCCCCCCAGTGACGTCTCCCCTGTGTAATCAGCACCCTCCCCCAGTGACGTCTCCCCTGTGTAATCAGCACCC